TTAACTAAGAATTAAAATGCAAATACGTTGTCACCCCTGAGGACTAAGATGGAATACCTCGATTCTAGTAAAAAGGGTCTCCGGTTCTCTACACTCAGCATACGAAACACAGCAGCATTACACTGCTATTTTATGCTGGTATTCTGTGAGAGCGTGGTTACAACTATAATATAGGTGCAGCGTGGCTCTACCACGTAAAAGAGATAGCTTTTATATTTTCAGACATAGCTATTAAAAAAATTTTGTGACATTCCCGGTTCCATAAGCAACATGAGTAAATGAATAGGCTCTTGCGAAAAAGTACTACAAATATAAAAAAGCAAATTTTAAACACAGGTTTCTTTTAATTTTGAACTGTAAGTTGTAAGTGTAAGTAAAATCAACATTATTTTGTCAAAACTTTATGAAATTTAATTACGAATATTATGTAAATAAGGCATTTCTGATTCCAGCGAAATTTTCATATCTTTATATGAAAAGGTGTTGCTAGACGTGTGATATTAATACAATTCTGATAAACTAATTTATGTGTTTCTGTAGCATATAATATTTCCAAATTTCAATAATTTCCTACGTGTCTCTACAAGTTACCCAGTTTTGCTAACTTGAGTACGAAATAGTATTGTTTTGTTGTTATTCAAAATCACGCGAGCGAAGCGGCGGTTAAAAAACTAATTATCTAATATTTTTAAAGTATATATTATTACAACTTAAAAGTTTTTGTAACCCCTTTTTTTTGAAAAGAGATGTTTATATTTTTTTATAATACTAGCTAGCTCAGCAGACGTTGTTTTGTACTTTTTTGATTAGTTACTACTACTTACCTACCGGAATATTCAGTGTAAAAATACAATTTATTAATAACTTCACACCACCACCTATCAAAATTCAAATTCAAATTGTTTATTGCACGTCACATTACAAATTTAAGATGGTGCAATTTTGATAGGTATACATGTGACGCCTCGCAAGGGCATAGCAACACTAGAGGGCTAACTATTTTCGTATTATCTAATTTTTAAACATAAATTACAAATTATCATATCATCAAAATTCAATATTATTTTATATAAATTAATAAAATGCACCTAGTCTAAGTATTCTTACTTTGTCGTTATTTATCCATCCGTACTTTGTGATTTTGTTTCCTGGCAATAAACCAAATTATCCCAGTCTCCGAGACCGTAAATCAGTCACAGCGGCGGCCACTGTCATAAGGACTATATCGTCGGCAAATCGAAGGTGAGTGATGTACTCGCCATTGATGTTAATACCTGCTAATACCTTGCCAGTCCAGTTGCTTGAAACCGTCTTCCAATGCAGCAGTGAAGAGTTTCGGGGAAATAACGTCACCATCTCTTACACCTCTCTGCATGTGGATAGGTTTCGTACTCTGGTTCCGTCCTCGGATAGCCATCGTAGCCCTACTGTACAAACACTTCAGCATTTCGATATACCGACAGTTTCTCATAGTCTACATACTCATATTCCACATCTGCCACTTTGCAGATTGTACTCTTCGGACTTCTGTACAATTTGCCGAGAGGAATGCATGTGGTCTATGGTGCAAAAGCCTTTTCGGAAACAGGCTTGTTCGGGAGGCTGGAAGTCGTCGAGTCTGCATGCGAGACGTACTCGTCAGTATTCGTAATGACTCTCGAAAACAGCACGTAGACGCGGCTCAGAAGAGATATCGGTCTGTAGTAGACCACCGCATTTCTGCTTCACGCCTCGGGAGTAGAGCCTCATTTATTCGCTCTCATATGGGAAGGCAATCTGACAGGACAGTGCGGAAGGAATAGCTACACGTGTTTTCTGAGGTACGAGGGTAAAACACCGCCACTTTTTTGACTCCGTACTACCACTGGGAATTTATTGAGAAAACAACCCAATATATAACTGATTTCGGGCTGATCCGGACTGCAAACCTAAGCTCACGTGATCAGCTATCGCACTTGCAACCACTCATAATATAATATAATAAAAATTCTCGTAGATACTTTTCTTTTCCTTTTTCTCGTAAATACTTGCTGCCCTCAGCAACTTTGCAGTGCTACCCCGATATCTCAAGACTTTTTCCGAGTCATTGTCCTTCTCAAGTGTTGCATTACTAGGAGTTCGGGGCTCACGCTCTGAGCGCCCACAATCCCGAAAGGCTGGTAGGAAAACACTGTTATCAAAGGGAGGGCCGTGTTGAACGCCTTGACGGCGCCGTCTCCAACTGGGATCCACCCTCTCCTGATCTCGCTTCTCTCCCTCCTTCTGGATCATAACGCTTCGAAACCCCTAGAATCACTCCAGTGACGCGTTTGCGTTCACAGTGCTCATATGACCTTAACCCTGTTCTGTCAAGTCGTTCCAAGTTTTACGATCGCTACATACGCACCTACGGTTATGAATGAAGACTCTAAAGATGAAGAGAACGACTCTGCGAAAAACATACATATTGATAATCGCGTCATCATCTGCGAAAGATACTTCTTGAACTTTTTTGTTTCTAACTTATGCCATTAAAAATTATTTACATATGAAAGGTAACGCCATCTTTTTGTCAATTTGGCGTAGCTGATTTTATTGCAGCACATAACTGAACAAATCGGTATTTTTGTAGGACGTGGATTCAGTCGCGCAATTAAATTTAGTCTAGTGAGCAATGCGGTTGCAACTTGTCTTATCGTACACATGGAACCGCGTGAATTTATGTTTTGACACAGGGGAACGCCTGCGTATGTCTAATCCGCTTCAGTACATCGGCGGCCCGTGTTACTTTATGAGTATGAATAATAAAAATGTGAAAAATATATTCTGTAATGAATGAAAAAGAAATACTAAATGATAATTTATGAGAAAAACTAAGTATATACAAAGAATGTTGTATAATATGATGATTTGCTGAGTGCATTTTGTACGTGATGAAGTTTATTACTTTATCTAGCTTATCCCGTTCAAGCAAACATAATAAAACTGAAAGGCCTCGTTTTCTAGGTCAAAAGCAATCGCTATAATTCATTGTTGATAGTAAATATTAAGTTGTTAAACATTACGAGCACGCTATAATTCTATTCATAAAATTTTAAGACCATAAATGTTTTAATGCTACACCTGTGATTTATATTTAATGTCTAATAGCACCTTAATTTTACTGAGGACTAACAGCCTTATAAAAGACAAATTATTGCCAAGATAAATGATGACAGTGACTCTCGACACAAATATCTACATTGCTGGGTATGATTAAACATGGCTATTGTAAAAAAAAAACTTGGGTAAATCGTTTTCGCGTCTGTAATCATCGACATAGACCTAGTATAGACCTAAAAATCTGGTTTTTTGTATCTAGTATTATTTTCTATTCTTAAAACACAAAAATAGCCAAAGTGGTAAGTAGAGAAGTGCCCAAGTCTGATACCGCCATTTTCTTTTGACAAGCACGTTGTAGTTTTCTAATAATGTAGTCTTATATGTTCAGTAATTAACAGTTAACACGCTGAAGAAGGAAAATGTGGGTGGTATAGTAATTGTTAAGCGTCGGTTAGAAGTCGGTTAGTATGGCCAACAAGATAACAGATCCGGATCATCCGTCGAAGGAGGTGTTGTTTGGCGAGAATTTGTGGTCTATCAAATTGCATGTAGCAATGGGGGTGATCCTGTACGTGTTCACAGACTGCAGACTTCCTTGAGCGTCGATTATTCATATCATATACGTGTAATTTTAAGCGGGTTCTAATTAATATTGATTGACAACCACGCCGCTGCCTAGATAAGACACGGCATATAACTAGGTACACGCGGTATCCGTGCTCCAAAAACGTTGCCCTGGAGTCATCACATTCGCGGCTGCAAGAGATTCATGTCGAAGGTTGTTCCTTAGATATAACTTATTAACTGTAACGTGCATGTACATTTTTGAATTATGCCGCTTGTTAGGTAAAATCCTCATTATTTCCAACGAATTGGAGATAGGTACCTTGTCGATACGGCGCATTCAAAAATGCTCCATACTACATGGCTATAAGGGCTTGCAACCATTTACCTAATATGATAAATAAATTATAAATCAATTTTAATTATTTGACAGATTTCTTTCTTTCTGTTTACTTACTTATTTGACATTCTTGATATTTTCATAAAAAATTTTAAATCTTATTTACATAATATAAATGTATAATGATCATTTATGACGTATAATATTTATTGAAATTTAATTTTAAAAGGGTAGTAATAAAAGCTCCGACAAAAAAAAAATAAGAATTGCCCTTACTCAAAATATGAAATCTACTACCTCAAATCAATGATCTTATCATATTATAAGATCATTGCCTCAAATACTAACTTTCCGACTACTTTTGTCCGAATAAAAATGACGAAACGACCGAATTAAATACTGAAGTCTTCGAAAATTAAATATTAACCTTTAGTGCTATAATACTTTTCTACCATCTTAAATTAGGTTTTACTGAAAACTATGCTTTGTAATTTTTATGTGTACTTTTTTTTGTGGTGACACGCCACGTCCATTGATGAGTGGTTGCTGCGCCAACACCACCTCCTCCCAGAAAAAAAAAAAGGGGGTCGTCCCCCGGGGAAACTCTTTCAAAAGTCTCCGGTTCTCTACATCAAGCAGCATTAACTATTTTCACGCTGGTCTCGTGTACAACTATACTAAATTAACTGCAGCATGGCTCTACCACACATTAATATGAAAATTACCTTCCATATTTCATAGACTGTGGTGCTATTATAACTACAACGTTATACTGAAAATACTATTCTGAGTGGTTATACAGAAACTTATAAAAAATATAAAAATGTACTTCTACTAAGACAGAATCTTCTCTTTTAGGCCATCAAAAAACATTTGAAAATCTTCTTGACGTTCATTCGTGGACACACCAAGACAAAGCGGATGCGAAGTATGTAGCGTATATGTGCTGTATGTTCGTGGAACAAACTATGTTGAGTAATTTTTTAGTTGACAATGCCAGACGAATACTTGGTTCTTACGCTTCTATCACGTGATAGCTGAACACGAAAACTTCATTTTCATCATCGGGAATAGTTGTTCGGTCGAAAATCCATTTTTCAAGTTCACCTAAGTAAATTGCAGCTCTTCCAAACTTCTCGCGCCTTCTGTCATATAGGTAGTTGTTAAGCTTCCGTTTCAAAGGCGCCTTTATCCCTGTCATGTTGTTTAGAGCTTCTAATATAGATTTTGGCTTTAGGCGTAAATCAAACAGCTTATTTATTTCTCTTTTAACGTTTTCCGGAATTCCGTACTCACTTCGCGTACCAATCTGGTCATGGTTGTGCTCTGAAGTGGTCTTAAAAATAAGAATATCATTACAGTCGTTCACAAACAATAAATACAACGCACAATCACACTGTGGCCCTTTGGATTTTACCTTGTTACAACGATAGAAACGTTCTTGGCCTTCATCACTGTCCCGAGTATAATTTCTTGACCAAGTCTTTTCATTACTCACAAATTTCTCTGCTTCTTGTACATTATAGCACCGTTTGATCAACACCCAACTTTTGTTACGACGATTCTTCTTCGCCGGGTACCGGAAGGACCAGCTCCCTCTTCTTCCTCCTCCGACTCAGAACGGTACACAGGTACCTCTTCGATATTTCACAACAATACTAAGTTTCCTTAATAGATACTAAGTTAGTAATTACCTAAGTAGATTTATTAGTTTTTTGACATCATAATATTAAACCAATAGCAACAAAAACTATTTAATTTCATAATTATCTCGGAAAAAGGACCCGATCGCGCGGGACAAACAGTTGAGGTATTTTCATCATTATTGAGAGCTAAAAATATATTTGATAACGAACAATAGAAATTTTAATAGTTCATGCAAGTCGTAAAAATATGATTATTTTGTCAAAACCTTTGTTGTCGGTAACTTAGTAATCTTGTCGGAGGTTCAGTATTTTATTCGGATGTTTATTTTTGTTATTCGAAGATCTATTTTTTAGGAGAAATGTAATTTGACCGTTTGTTTGTTAAATTTGTAATTTTTTTTCGGTATGTATTGGGTTTTTTTTGACGGTAATTTATTATAATACTGGTTAATTAGAATAATAGTCGACCACAGATCGCTGGAGATTAATTTGTTTTTCGGAACCATTATTATATCCCATTTTAAAATACCTAAGTGTGTGTATTGATTAGTTTTACATTTTATAAATTCAATAATTTTTGTGTTGTTTGTTCAATAATTCTATATAATATTGAGTACTGCCTGCCTCGTTGGTATAATGGTTGTATTAGTGCGACTGCTGCTCATGAGATCCCAGGTATGAATCCCAGGTCGGGCCAAAAATATCAGTTATTGAGTTTTACCATTAAGAAATCCTCAGTAGCTGCCCGGAGTCAGGAAGTTGGCAGTGTCTCACTCCTATGCCCCAGAAAGCACGTAAAGCCGTTGGTCCTGCGCCTGATCTCTCTCCAGTTGTGTCGGTTTACACTTGGGTACTACAATCCTGGCCTGCGCTGATGGCTAGTCTCCGTTGAGACTGGCTGCCGTGACCGAAATTCGGTCTGGAGGACATTATATTGTGTACTATAAATAATGTACTTTAATTGAATTCCATATTAATTAACATTTAAACTCTGTCTTAATGTACTACGCCCGTACAGGCTGTCACATGTTCTGTAAATATACTGTACCAACTTTATACCTTGTGACTTGTAATAAAGAATTATGAAATAGAGAAAATAACAGCGCGCTAACATCTACCTGGGATCCTATAATTAATTAAATTAAATCCCAAATCAAGTATACAATTGCAACATTTCAAAATATAAGCTCATTCTGCGTAGATTCGGTCGGACCAAAAATTAACAATTTTAATCTGAAGGTAACCGTTGTTAACTATGTCATTACAACGTCGAGGACCTTAGTCCTCATGTGATCATGGGTGCTGTAGTACTCGAAACGTCGGGAATTCAAAATAAATTAATAAAAAATAAAAATATAAATTTCTTCGCAACCTTCCGCCAAACAAATACAATGATGTGTTCTTACCTGAATTGAAGAGCATCTTCCGCCCTCCCTCAATTGCATGCACTAACTCTGTCACCACTAATCCCAGTACCACTACTCCCAACACCACTATTCCAGGCAAGACACACCATCGACGATAATACGACACGTGTTTCGCCTCTACACGAGGCATCTTTAGGTAATGTAGACTCTACGGCGGCGGCTATAATGCGTGTGTTATCAAAGTAAGTAAGACTTAGCGGTCAGCCGCCGTAGAGTCTACATTACCTGAAGATGCCTCGTGTAGAGGCGAAACACGTGTCGTATTATCGTCGATGGTGTGTCTTGCCTGAAATAGTGGTGTTGGGAGTAGTGGTGCTGGGATTAGTGGTGACGTAGTTAGTGCATGCAATTGAGGGAGGGCGGGGAGGTGCTCTTCAATCCAGGTAAGACACATCATTGTATTTGTTTGGCGGAAGGTTGCGAAGAAATTTATATTTTTATTTTTTATTATAATGGATTTCCTCAAAGTAACGCCTGATTCTATCAATTATCAAAATAAGTTAATACACGCGTTAAAATCCGTATAACTTAGTTTCATTTAAAAGGTCTTCACTGCAATGTTTAATAAATTTTAACATATGAGAGTATGTGGGCTTAACTAAAATATAATAAGGATTATTTAATAGTAATTATTTGGTTTTTTCTTTCAAAATATGTCATAAAAATATGGGCTTTTGACTTTACTTCAGCGTCGAAAACATATAGCTGATGTAAAACACTGATGCTCCAGTCAGTGTGCAGTCTGCAATAGGATTTAATAAGTTCGAATTATTAACTATAAATTTGGGCAAAATAACACCGAAACTTATCAAGACTGAAAAACGATTTTCTCTAATTTGATATACTCTATTGTCAAAAAATAAATTGCTTTCAGAAGGGGTGGAAGATGGTTTCTACTATCTATTTGGGATCCTATTATTAATTATCCTGTTAGCTCGCGAGGCCACGTATATTACGTGGCCTCCTGACACTCCCGTTCGCTCGTGACCGTAATGGCGGGAAAATTTGCAAATTAGCAAATTTTTTGCTATATTGCAAATTTTGCTATATTTTCACTTTGAGACAATATTTATGGATAAAACTTACAGGAATTCTTGTTGAATGTATAAACTATTGAATAAAATTATTTTGGTTGCTAGAAATTATAATAAAATTCATAAATTACCCTTTATAGCATAAGTAGTAGTATATACTTCACTTTTAGTGCGAAAATTACTACTAATTTGAATTCCACACTTTTGTTTTTGGAGAAATTTATATGAAAATGTTTGGAAATATGTATATTTTTATGTTTTATGTGTTTCTATTCGTTACTCATACCAAAATATTAAAATATAAAAAAATTAAAAAAAATAATAATTATAATATTTATCTGTATGACATTTCGAACAATATTTCAAAAATATTTTTGTGTGAATTTGAAATAAATACAACGTCAAGTTATTTGAAATATGTAAGAAAACTATTTTTACTTACATTTTACACTAAAAATAAATGAGAATTGGAAAAATAACACATTTATGACCCCAACCGCCAAAATGGGCGTTCCGTATTTCGAAGTACTTTTGGCAATTTACTTTTCACTTTTTATACCACAAATTATATATCTACGTATTTACCATATTACAAGGAATATAAAAAAGTATAATACTTTCGTTTTTAGTCCAGACACAAATATAAAATTCTATAAAAAAAGACGGAGCACCTTCATCAAAGCGACACGTGGAACGCCGAAAGTTCAGAGTGATTTCTTTTTTTTTTTTTTCTAAGAAACATTGCCAGGTTATGGTTTAAAATAAAAGAGCATATCTTTGTCTTTGATACTATTATCTATTGCATAGTGTCTTTGGTTTTGTTTTAATTAAAAAAATTATTTTTCAAAGGGTAGTACTTGTGGTACACATGTGTATCTTGATCGAGCGAGCGTAAGGTGTTTATGTTTGGTACACATGTGTATGCTAATCGACTCTACAGGTATTATGTATACAATTGCTTATACTGAATCGATCGTACCAAAAATAATTATAAAAGCAAAAGTTAAAGCATAAGGACCTGAATCACATTCAGTTCCCCCGTGACCATAGATGCTAAAAAGCACTTAAAAACCGTGTGTATAAAATAAACGTATTGATTCTGTAAACATTAATTTTTTACCGATATCTGCCTATGTGTGGGACTTATTATGCTTAAATCCACAGAAATCTTAAATTGTTTTTTATTTGCCTATACGTAAATATAGTATGGTCTCTAAGTAAAGATATACGTATACATACATTGAAATGTTATTCTTAAATTTTCGTGAAGAATCATAGGTAACAATAATAGTGCAAGATGCTTTCAAAGTTGTGATTTGGTAATTAATTTAATAGTGCGTTTATCTATTCATACAAATAAATAAAATTGAAATATCTGTCTGTAATATTAAAAAAGCTGCCTTTATTTGAGCTCGGTTGGTTATAAGCATACCATTATGGCATAATACCTGCCTGAAATTTTGTTTGTCTTTATGCCTGGGCTAGTCTTCTAAATTGCTGAATCAATTGTTATGAATCTTAACTAACTGATAACAAAGAAGTGATCAGACCACTTGAACCGAAAAACTTGGATATTTTTTATCAGAACGAAAAATTTATTAAAAAAAAAGTATAGATGTATGACATTAACAGATTACTTACAAACCACCCCGACAACGCAGGGTGGGCTGTAAGTAAGTAATATAAACATTTACATGAAACAGATTTACTCGAATATTTTTAGCAGACTTCAAAATAGCAGAAAGTTGACACTTCGAATGTATTTTTATGTTACGCGATATTTTCGCTAATAGTGAAAATATTTCAATGATTCTTTTTTTATTAAATAGGCTATAAGCCTGAAGATTTCATTTCAATTAGTAATAATCCACTCCAATATAATCAGTCCTAATAAAAAACGAATTTCACCCAAAAATGGGTTGAAGTTTCTACTTTACTACTGCGACGACATTCTAGTCAAGAGGATCAAAAAATTAAGCTATAAACAATATTATAGCTTATAAAATCGGTGCTAAGATTAGTATATCGAAATATTTACATCTTAGCCCTTAGCGGCGACAATGCGTGTGTTATCCTTTTTTGCTTGAAGTTGGTTACAAGTAAAAATATTTTGAAGAAGATATGCAATATACTGGCATTATATAACTTCACTAATAAACACATCTATAAAACTAATTCAAGAAGCGTTTAGAAGCGGATTTGAGAAAGAGATGTTAATTAAGATTGGCACGAACGGTAAAATAATGTCGTCTTAAAATGCACAATTTACTGTATTTAACGCCGGGAAAATAATTTTGGATCCTAAACCGGATCTACAATTATTTTCTTGAATCTTAATTACATTCTCCACTTTATGTTTATTAAACGTTTTCGAATTTTAGTAACGCCTTGTTACTAAGTAATCAAGAGAGAAAATCGAAGAAATACTTATGA